GTGGTGGTACCGCGACACTCTCCCCGCTGTTTTCCGGCTTGTTTAGTGGGGCTGGCCTCTTCCTTCCTTTCTCCCCGCCCCAGGTTGGGGGGGGGGGGACTGGCCCAAAGTTCTTCTCTTGGCTTCCGGGCCAAAGGCAGGAACGGAACCCCTGTCTCCCTGATCCTAGTCCAGTACCTTAACCACTAGATCAAGCTGGCTCTAATACGGTAAACGTCATGTGTTAATTGGATGAATATTAACGTTGTTGTTCTGTGGCTTATTTTGTGCAGTGTTTGGGCTGTACTTGTAGCAAATTTAGTTGAACCTTTCTAAAAATACTTTAAAGCATAGTTGTTTTACTGTGGAGCAAATACAATAAATGGCTGTCAAGCTAGTTACAAGCTAGAGGCTGTGTAATTGCTTTAGTTCATTGCTTTACTCTGATGTGTCCTGCTTTGTCATCCTTGAGGGCACTCTGTATACAGCTTCATCATCATAAGCCAAAACATCATAAAGGTGGACAACTCTTTTGATGCCAGCGTGAGCTCCCCGATTGTGTTTCTTGAACACCGATGATGGTCTTGCCCATTCCGAGGTAGGAGGCAGATGAAAGCTCTAGCCTCTGCTTCAGGTGAGGCTTGTCAGAGTGAAACGCTTAAGAAAACCCACCAAACCATAGCTGTGCTCCCAGCTTTGATGTAGGCCTAACCACACCGCAGTCCTTAGTCCCTCCAAGTGTTGTAAGTTCCTGACTCTGTTCAGTTGCTCACATGTTGTCAGCCCCACCAGGTCAACCAGATTAGAAAATCAAGTCCCGGGAAGAGTAGAACCCTATTTTATTGAGACAGGCTCCAATAACACAATCTTGCAAGTCTGACTCTGCTTTACCTCCCCTTCTTCTTATACCCCAGTGAATCAGGAAGGGCCTGATTCCGCTTCCGAAGACTACCTTGCTTCGCTGGTCTTAAGGAGGGCTTCACCCTCTTTGCTTAGCTAACAGTTCTTGCATACAGTATTTCTCCTGTCCACCTACTCTCTACACACGGTTAATCCTACGTTTAGGTGTTAAAATGCAAAGGGCTGCTCTGAACATTTGCTTGAGTGCATGCAGTGGAAGATGCTGTATTTTAACATCCCCTATAAATAAATGTAAATGAAAAGAGAAGTGTGTGGTATGGCAAAGGTGAAGTGCACTGGCTCCTAATTATTATGCCAGGAGTGGTCTTTCTCTGCATTAGAAGACTCTTTTACTTCCCTAGTGCAGATGTTACTGCAGCAAATGTTTCCATGTTATTTGTATGTTTTTTCCTCTTTTTTTCCAGTGGAGACATTGCTCAAAGTGAAATAAGTGAGAAAAACAAGATACTTTTCCGCATTCTCGTTGCTAGTGTTTGCCTCAGTGTCATTTATGAAGCTGGTTGGGAAGGCCTGATTTGTACCCGGAGGTCACCAGCTCTGGCAGGAGACGAGGCCCGGAGCAGAGCAATTCTTGCTCCTTCTTTACTTGAATGGGGAACGCTGTTTCTCCCGCTGGAAGAGAGCGTGAGGGAGACATCCAGCCCAATCTCTGGAACTCCTCTGCTGCTTGTCCTCTCCCCAGATTTTCCCAGTTCAGAGGGGCAGCAGTGGATGGAGGAAGAGCCTCCCCCAATACACAAAGGCATGGCCTCCCATTTTGCATTAGAAATAGCCCCGATTAAGTTAGGATGTATTTTTAAATGGATCCAGAAAGGTTGGGAGATGGAAAAGCTGATTGTCTGAAAGTGCCCGTAAGCTTCTTGCTTTGTCCTGCTTGAGCCCCATTGGAGAGTGATTGGAATCCAGTTGGGCTGAACCCTTAGCCTGCTGCATGTCAACACACAAGTCCCTTGTATCAAGGTTGAACTCGGGAAAGTGACTCCTTGATGCTGGGGTAGCAAGTGGGGAACGCAGTGCAGCAGCAGCCTAGTGTCGTGTCTAACCCATCGGAGAGGGTCACTTCCAGTGCTCCAGAGCCAACTTGGGCCATGTGAAGCCACATGTATTTCAGTCTTGCAAAGTGATTGATGGATCTCCCCCCCTTTCTGGTTTGCAACAGAGGTGAACTGCTCAGGCAGGAGGTGGGGTGTTGCACTCCTGGGGACTGGACTGAACTAGTTCAGATTTGCTAGACTAACCTCCCCAAAGTCTGTGTTTCTGGCTTGTCTCCTTTCAACAGACTGTTTGTATATCATACATCTCACTATTCAAATTTCAAAGATGAACAACACAACAATATCACAGTTTTTCTTCCTTTTTTCTCTTTCTCAGTCTAAATAGTTTGAGATCTGCTCTATTAAGTAGATTAGATAAAGGCTCTATCCATGTGTATTAAACATCCTTTAACTCTGGTAAAACTATAACAAAAGTCTTACTTTAGAAGTGGGTTAATGCTACATTATTCGATGTATGGTGCCAACATTCATGTAATTAATTTTAATCTCATTGTTTTTAATTTAGATTTTAGTATTAGCATTTCTTATTTCTCTGCTGAAACCATCTCAAGTTGGTCAAAGACAACAATAAAGATTGGAATTTGATAGGATATCCCATTATCTGAGGCTCCTTCTTTAGGATGTGCTACAGAAGCTTCCCAGGACACATTTTAGAGAACTTCAGCAGCAGCCTAAATTGTATTTAAGACTAGTATCACCCTGACACACTCTCCAATAAACAGCATTGTAGCTTTATCTGATAAAAGGCACCCTGCCTATTTCTGAAATGATAGGATCCAAGAACAACCCTGAATCGACAAGGCAAATCACCTCTCGCCAACATGTTTTGAATCACCCTTTTCGAATTGGGTTTTCTACTGATCGGGAGGAGCTCTTTGGGTGAAGTTTTGCTTTGTCCACCCGCATCCAGTCAATCACCATGGGCATTTCATATTTTATAGTTTAAGTTGCCTAAGTGTACCCCTCCACACAGCAATTGTCAGAATGTTTGCGACCATTATGGTGGTATGAGTGGCTGGAGCTCCCCTCACTGTGTAATGTGTAAAATAACCTTGAAGCAACCTGAAAATCAACACTGGTATTTTGTGTAAATCAAATTATTGCATCAGTAACTGCTTATTTTCAGTGGAACTGATTTTAGCCTCAAAATCAATGTGTAATTCATTTTTCATATAAGAATTCAAGGTAATAATGGAGAAGTGTTTTGCTTCATTTATAAAAGCCACTGCATGCTGGTTTGCTAGGAAACGGAGCCTAGGAATTGAAAATTTTCTGGCCATGATACATGCATAGAAGTCTGCTTGTATCTCCTCTTCGCTCCTGGGGTGAGTGCTTGTTTGGCTAATGAAATGGGATGGATTATGAACCTGGAGCAGGTTGGGAACACCTTCAAGTTTTTTGGGTGCTCCATGGTACATAGTTTACGAAACACTGAGTTGCAACAATTCCCCACCTTAAGAATGCCTGTATTAGCTTCCAACAACTATTTTATAAATGACCACTGTCAATAATCATGGTTAGTCACTGCATTTCCATGCCTAGCTCAGTGAAACTTATTCCCAAATAAGTTTGCTTCAGATTTTGAATGTGTAGTTCTTTTATTTTCCAAATATATTAGAACTCATGTTGCAGGAAGGATAATTATGCTATCGTAATTTTAATGTATAATAAGAGTTCCTGTGTACTAAAATAATGTTTTCATGGTTCCATGGATGGTTCTGTTGAGTGTAATTAGAAGGCAGGATTGATTTTGTTCTGTAGAAGTATGCAAGGCACTTTTTTAACTTGGGCTTCCTCAGTCTCTTGGAGGGCCAGTTGAACCTTGTTAGACTTTGAGAGTATATTATGGGCACTCTCACAAAATGGTGCTGTGGTTAGGTGGGGCAATCACAAAAAATCCATCTGCTGGAAAGCAGACCATAGTTCTGGTTTCATGTCCCAAGGGTGCTGCTGGGTGTCTAGGGGCTGAGAGGGGCTGCTGACAGGCAGGTTGCTCTTGAGCCAGATGTTTTGCTGTGCAAGAAGACAGATAAATGAAAGAACATGAAGGAAAAAATGGTAGAGAATCTAGCACCAAGGAATTGTGAGAATGGGTGTCTTGTGACAATTGGGCTCTGCCCACGGGCCTGGGAGTTCTTCTGGATTGAATTGGGCAACTCTTCTATTCCAGCTCCAGTTCATCTCATAATTCTCGCAGGGACTCACTGCGAATGCAGCTAGAAGAACACAATATTGTTAATGTAATAATACAGGGATAAAATACCAGTTGTTGAAATTTGGGCATATTTTTCTTCAAAACATGAGTAAGTTTAAATTCTGAAATAAAATATTAGAATTTTGGTATTTTGATTACTGCACCCAACAGGTTATGGCCCAAATGTTAGTTTCGTGTCCTTATTATTTATAAAACATCATCTCACTGTGCTTTGTTATTTCTCTATTACCCCCAGAACTGTCCAAACAGTGAATTTGTGAATTGCTGCATAAATTTGCCAACCCTTTAAAAAATAGTTCACCCTCCTTCCCAGAACAGCCTCTCTGCAGATGCACAGACAAGCTGAGGACGACCCAGAGAAGCTGAGGTGCTTCCATGTTGGGGCCTCAACCCTTCTGAGCTCCAAGCCAAGTCCAGATGTGTGGTGGGCATGGAGTTCTAAAACAAAAGAATTCTTTCCTGAAGCCTTGCACTGAAGAAGGGAGGTGAAATGGGTGAAACTGGAAAGGCACCAAGTCGCTTTATCTGGTCCGCCGATGGGGATGGTGCCGTATGGCAGATGTCTTTGGTTGGGCCTCCCCACAATCCCTCTGTGGGATGCAAGGTTCACAAACTTGCCCTCTTTGAGTTCAGAGCTGCTGCTTTTACTGTCAGACGTGTCATTGACAGGGAAATGCCAGTAGTTATTCTTTAGCCACTAAAATGCTTTAAATTTGCCAGGACGGACTTCACTCACGAAATAATGAATTAATTGCCAGACCAGATGGATCTGTTCTGATGATTGCACAGGAGAATTTCCTGTGTAGGGAAGTAAAATCCTCCACATGGGGTGTGAGTTTACTGTTGTCGTACATTTCCCTCCCTTTTGTCTACACTCCTCTGCAATTTTGGGGGGTGTCTTAAAATTCCTAATTTTCTGTGTTCAATTTCCAGAGAGAGCATGTGGGGCTGTGCCAGGTCATCAGTTAACCCTTTTCGTTTTTTCAACTCCAGGTATGAAGTATTTTATTGTGCATTATAATAATGTTGCTGTTGTGTGTTTGAAATTTCTGAGAAACGGTTTGTTTAAGCTTTATTTCCTGCTTGCAGGGCTGTGTTTTGAAAATGAAAGCAAAGGACTCTTTGCAAAATCAGCGTGTGCACAAGTTGCTTCTTCGTTTTCTTCCTCAGTGCCCCAAAAGGTCTAGGCAGGGTGTCCCGGCCCTTTTAGACCAGAGGGTCTACCTGGACCTTTGAGGGTAGGTCACAGGTTCTCTCACAAAATGTCTGCCGTGATGGACAGGGGCAACACAAGACATCTTACCCTTAGAAGGAAAACGGATGAGATTAAGGAAGTACCTATTCCAGCAACCTAAACGCAAGGCCAAGGTGGAAACATTCTTTGAACCCATATGGGGTTTGGAGGATACTGAGGACTGGGACTTTCTAGGCGAAGTTGCCAGCTTCCCTGATAGTTTCGTTAAAGAATTAAGAGAATCAGGAAGTCTGGTGACTGCACTGGGTGCTTCCGCTTGAACCTGGGTATGGGCCATACATAGCACAGGTCACAATTCAGCTCTTCCTTTTTAAAAATCTCCCTGGGACCTAAAACAGGCAGTCTGTCAAGCTCCTGGGCGAATTGGAGAGGTACCAGTTCTGCGGTCCTTATGTAGCAAAATCCTGCTAAACTGTAAAAGGCACATTAATAGCCCCTTCCAGTGTCTCTGAGTGGTGAACGTGTGCAGATCAGACCGTGCCAGCTGGGCCTTTTCTCCTCAGTGATGTTGTGAGCACCTGAGCAGCACTTAAGAAATCAGCTCTAAACCTGGCCCTAAAGGGGGACTAAAACAGTGGAACCCAAACTGCCCTGGTTCTGTCTTCTTGACTCAGAGGCGGTCCATTGTGAATATGGTCTCTCTGGTTTTGATTCTGGACTGAGTTGTTGCATTCCTGGAAACTCACGTCATTCTGCCTGCTTATTTTGCAAGGAGTTGTAGGAAAAGGCCTAAAGATAATGCGGTTGAAGCTGGTCCTGAACCCTCTTGGGTTGATTGCAAATGACGGGGGGAAGCAGCATCAGTCCGTGGAGGGGTTTCCTTACGCTGTTTCTTACGCTAATATAACAGCCAGCTGAAAGGCTGTATTTTTTCCTGAATGGAAGATAAGGAGATGTCGCCCCTCCCCATCATGTGTTTAACTTCACCGTATGCTGATTTTATGTATGCATGTGTGATTTATAGTTATTTCTAATTTACCCCATAACTGAAGTGGCCAAGAACGAGTCGAAAATTACTAAAGCATTTAAAGGTTCTAAAAATAATGTTAGAAAAGAAGCAGAAACCCAGTAAAATACTGAAAAGAACAAAATGCAATTAATTAACAAATAGCATAATAGGAAAAAATAAAACCTACTATCCCATTATAGGGCAGGTGCTTACAAATCAAACGGGGTGCAAGAGGCAGAAGTGCCTAGACAAAGAGGAGGGTCTTTGCTGCTGCCGAAAACCCTGAAATGGCATCATTGAGGGGTGGTAGAGGAGGGGCCAAAGAGCCCAAAACAGGAACATGCAGGGATGAGACATTGCTTGAGGCGCTTTGGCCCTCCACCGTTCACGGTTTCAGCTTTTGTCATTTATTAACGCACTTTGGCCTTGAGCCAAGGAGAGCCAGTTAAGTCTGCGGTGGGACCAGTTCCAAAAAAGGATGGATTTTGCCCTAAAATTCTCAAACCGCGTAAGGCAGAGAAATGGGGGTTGTTCTGGAATGAAAACAATGGAGCCGTGCACACATCGCAGCAGCTGCAGCTGGCCGAGGCTGATCTGGTCACGAAGAGTCGAGCTTGGCTCCAGGCAGGCTTCACTTCTTATCGTCCTTATGCAGATTTTGGGATGGGAGAGAATGTCATATTTTAAATCCATTTCCATCTGAGGAGCTCCCTTTCTGTCATGATTTTTCAGATCAAAAAAGGGCTCGCTGTCATCCTCTAAGTTTCCACGCTCAGTCTTTTATTCTAAATACGGAGATGGTGTTCAGACACTCCTTCCCCCACCATCACTCTGAAGGAGTACTAACTCCACCCAGTATATCATTCTGTAGAGATGGACAATGTAAACGTGACTTTTGGGTAGCCTAAAATGGCCCCACAAACATGGTAGGCTTCCTGTTTACATCAGGACTGTGGGTGTTACACACCAGAGCTGCAGAGACCTGATGTGGAGAGATGTGCCTGCATGGAATGACCAAGGCCTTAACTTTTATTACTCCTTGTGGCCACTCCTCCAAGAGACACAGGGGTATTGCGGGCCACTTTCAGAAGGCTTTATAGGTAAGGCTCTTTAGTCCCTTGGAAGCGCCCAAAACATCTCTTACAGATTCGGCCCTGCAAGTTCATGAGAGACGATGCTTGTACTTGGCATGGTGTGCTGACAGTGTAGAAAGAAGGCCAGGAGACACAGGCACGGGCATCATCTGTCAAACCCTCTTAGGGTCCTTCATCTTGGGGAGGAAGATTAGAGCCACGAAAAGGGCGGCAGTACTTCTGGATGGCTGCAGATGCCTGGCTGGCGCATTGCCTAAAAGTCTTCTAACACTTTAATGACAACGGGCTGCTAGGACAAGTTGGCACGGACAGTCACTAAGTCCACGCTGCCTGTGTCTGTTGTTCCTGCTGCTACCTGTTTCAGGGTCTACATTATCACCAAGCCTGCGGTCCGTGTCATTCTCCCTGGAGAGGCTCAGTCTGGGAAAAGCAGAGTTACGGGTGCCCTCTTTCCAAGCAGGAAGGGCAGAGGACTTTTTGCGGAAGAAGAGAAACAGCCGGGGTGTGGGGAATGCAATTCCTGCCCCCACAGATCCTACGGTATCTCATCAGGTTTAATGTTGATAGATGACCTCATGGGTGGCAGCTGCTGTGCAAGAAATTTCCATCCATCTTGATGGGCACAGTTATGAATAAGGGTCTTCTTGGGCAAGAAAGCGGGGATCCAGCTGCCGGCATTGTCCATGAAACAGTAGCATGCAGTTTTGATTCCTGTAAAACATTGATCTGACATCCTTTTTCTTAACGGCCTGCGCCCCTGGAGTGAGTTGCTTGGATGGGCCAAATGTACTGAAATGAGAACTAGGCTCCGTCGAAAAGTATGACTCTAAAGGGCAGTAATCGCTTTTAATGAGGAAAGAATAGCAGGGTGATTAGTCCCAAAATATATAACTAAAAGGCATTCGTCAGATGAAGAGTTTAAGTGGGGATAGACCGTGAAGAATCACCTCTGTGCCATTTGAAAGATGGTCTTGCTGGGCTTCACGTGTCCTTCCAAGGAGTGTGAGGTGAAGCTGCATGGAAACAACAGGAAATAAATAAGGGCAGAAAACAATTTGCTAACCCCGGCACTGGAACCAATGATTTACAGGTTTGCGTTGATTCATTTTGTCTTCTAGCGTTCTATGGACTTCTGATTAAGCCCGGATGAATCTCTCCTGGCTTTTCATCATGCTGCCTTTTTTCCAGCAGTTTGCAGACTTCTTTTTTTAACTGTGCAGAGATTGTATCCCCATTTTTGTTTAGGCGAGAATTCATGTATGCAGTTCTCTTGCTGGCTCAGTGCTCCATTTTATGCCTGGGGGTAGAGTTTCTATATTGCAGGGACCTGGGGGCACAGCGGGCATCGTGGCCTGGCTCCTCTACCTGGTCGGGAAGGCTGAGCCGGGCAGTGGCCTTTGCGGAGCTCTGTCCTTGGGCACAAGGCGTCCCTGTTAGGTGAAGGAGTTGTCCCCATTCTGTGCGTTAAGAACTAGGGATCAGTGAGCTCCTTACCTCTGTTTGCTCAGCTTACTCCAGCCCCCGCAGAGCACTGAGTTGCCCCCATTCGAGGTGTTGCCGTTCGATGCACGGGACGCCGAGATGTCCCCGAGCTCAGCGTCCTTCTGCCTTTGGCTCTCCCCGCCCAGCAGCCACTCCGCTTTCCTCTTTTGCTCTCCTGGTTCCCCTTGGCCAGGCCACTCGCTTCCCGTCACCGGATGGGCTGCGCTTGGCAGCTGCAGAATCCAGGGGCCAGCCCCTAGAAGGTTGCTCTCTCTGCTGGCACCAGGGCCCCTCGTTGCCTTCTTGGCCGCTTCTCCGACTGGCAGCTGTGGAGCCGCTTTGGATTTGCCTCGGGGGGAGGCGGTTGTGGGCCGGGAGCGCTGCTCGGCTTAAAGGACCCCACTGAGGGCTTGGTTGTGGCTTTGCTGCTACAGAGTCAGGGTTATTTATTTGTCTGCTTGTGGGCTGCTCAGATAAAGAGAGATTGCTGATGTTTCTTTTATACTTACCCTTGCGAGCGATCCTCTTACCCTTTCCCTACTCCGTTTTCATTCATCCTTTAATTACGCAAACCTGCAGTTATGGTCATTGACCCGTGTGATTGTATCCACCGACGTTTGGTAATGACCGTCCAGCCCGGTGATCGCCCCATAATTATGAGACCCTCCTTGTAAAAAACAGCCCCTTTTTGCAGGAGACAAAGGAGAAGAAGCCGCGCCGAGCCCCGAGACAGCATTTTTGGGGCTAAGGCGAGCGGGTCTTCCGGAATGGGAGCCAATGGAAGATGGAGTATAGTAATAAGAGTTTTCGCGAGGGCTGTTGAAACTAAACTAATGTACTTTTTCTCATCATGCCTGGCCCAGAAATTCCAGTCTGGAGTCACGGCCACGGTGGGGTGATGCCAGTTAATCTAAAATTCAGTGGGCCTTTAATATCCATACTTTTTCAGTTTGTTGATTAATCTTAGGCATTTGTATCATTTTCCCCGTTCTGGATTTAATATCGCAAATGATTTCTCAATGGCTATAACTGCTCGGTTATAGAAGCAACAAAGAACCTACCGGCATCTTAAAAACTAAGCAACCTGTTGTTTAAGCTCATAAGCTGTCGTGGCCTTGAGTCTGTTCCTTCCGATAGATGAACTGTGTCTGTGCTGGACTCAGCCCAGAAAGTGCCAGGAAATAGCAGGGAGGGTGTGTGGTTGGAAGCGTGG